ACGACCACAGAATTGCATTCGTGGTCATAGATGAGGCACCAGATGTCTTGCATTGTCTTCTTCATTGGCCACTCAGTTATTATGTATTCCTTAGACCGGGTGTAACCCTATATGTCATTCATATATAGAATATTACAGAATATTCCGATAAATATGATATTTTATATACATTATGAATCATAATTTATGATTAGTTAACCAATGCTATGTGATATAAACAAGCAGACTATTATGTAAATAAATACTCAAACATTTTCATTAAACATTTAAATCCAAATCAATACAATCTTAACAACTTTTGTAAGAATTTTGGGAATTTTGCCTAAAATGTGTTGAAAGACATGTACCGACAGAGTATTAGTACTATTAACTTAATAACTATTATTTTAATCACATGCTTAATACATAATATAAACATTTACAAGTCCTATGATATTTTTTTTGGGGAAAAAGCAAAAAATAAATTTTAATTTAATAGAAAACCAAACAAATCGCTTACGTCTACAAACACGGCGTTAATATAGTCGGTGCAGTCATTACTCTGGAATGATGTGAGGTATGGCCGGAAATTGTCGGCTAAATTATAAACAAAAATAAAAATTATATAAATATATTATACACAGAATATTCATACGGAACCAAAAATACAATTAACACATAATTTATAAATCTGTTTTACTTTATTCAGTGCTCGTTAGCTAAATGGGCAAAAATGTTGTGAATATTTGGCTGACATTGAAATATATTGCGAAATGTTTGAGCATTTAATGCAAGAATTCGCGGATTTAATGATTTTGTCTTTTTATTTTGTTTGTCACATCAGTTTTTCTCAATACAAACACATTTGAATGCACTTACAAATGGGTTTATTTATTTTCTTTTCCGTGTATATACAGCACGTATTCAATGATTAATTAAATAATGTGTTATGAAATCATATTCCGAGTGTCACATGTAATGTATGATTCACAAATTCAATGCCAAGAATACGTGTGAGTGCAAAACTATGCACCAGGGTCATGTACCAGGGTAAAACAAATGTACCAGGGTCATACTTACGGGGAACTATGGATACGTCTCTATTCTTATCGCGATTCTCGATGCGATGACCGCCAGCGCAGTCACCAATCGTCGGCTTTACTGTCATTTTCAGGATTTTCTGTACAATTCAACATAAGTTTTATGAAACCAATTGTATTCAAATAGTTGATCTATAGGTGCAAACAAAACCTGGTATTCGAGGAAATATTCATTTTGATTCATAAGGTTTTTACTCGACTTGAATCTCATTTGCTGCGAGAGCTCATCCACGGGAAACCATGTCTTACCGCAAAAGTAGGCCTCCTCTAAGGCGTCGTAAACAAACTTGTACTGGTCCTATACCGTAATAATATTTTTAATTTGTTATGAATATTATTCACAATAATATTTTCATCTTTAAAATTATTTTAAAACTAGTATAAAAAGTATAAAAAGGTTCAATGTTGTTTACAGCATATGATAGTTAATAATTGGTTGAAGATTTAATATTAATTATGTTTAAATGTATGAATTCCCAAATAAAGTTCGTGTTGGGAAGTCTATAAAATGTTTTTTGATTTATTACTAATTTATATTTAGACGAGAATTATGACAAATATTTATCATCTATTTATATCTCATTTAAATTTAATTATCTTATTTATATTTAATAAAACTGAGAAATATGTTTGAAAATATCTCGCAATACTGTATGTGAAATGCAGTGACGGGTGGGGAATATTTGACAAATTATTTTATGAATCCTTAAATATTAAGTCATAATTTTGAGCTAAACTCAAGAATTTATGGAATAAAACTGATGCCTGTATTGGAAAGCATTCGTTGAATTCAATGCAAACATAAATAGAAATGTATTTTAAAAATCACTTCAAACTTATCACTAAATTGAAAGGATAGAGAAAAATGTGACTCAAATGATATTCAGTATATTGTACTTGTAGTATGATACCCACTACATATACACTAATTGGATTCATTCAAAAATAAACTTTTAAGAATTAGATAACGACGAGAGAGAGAGAGAGAGAGAGAGAGAGAGAGAGAGAGAATAAGGAAAATTCCACGAGAGGTGGGAAAGAGTGACAAAAAATAACTGATTAATAGTATCGTACCGTAAGTTAAGCACAAAAAAGAGTAATAAAAATAATAATAGAAGAGTACAGATGTTAATGAAGCAAAAGTACACATCAAGTGCTGTTTGGTTACAATATTTGGCACCAAATGACAGAAGACTTACCATATTCTCAATGAGTCCTTTACGCGAGTGTTTCATACGTTTTGCATAACCGAACACATCGTAAAAGCCGTCCTCCTCTGCCAACTCCAGGTTGGCGTCAATACACATGTAGGCACCCGTCCGGCCACCGCCATCACTGGCCATCCATTTGTCATATCATGCAATGAATTTGAAATGTTTGGTGAGAATATGTTTTGTAAAGATTTAATTGGTTTCAAACGAATCGGTTATTTAAGAGTTTTGTCAGCAATAAATTATTACTAATAATTATAAATAGTTTTGTTTGTGTTTATCATTATTATTAGTGTTTTGTTTTAGACCAGAATATTCTGATTCTATATACGATACGGAAATCGTAAAATTTGTTTCATAAAGTTTTTTAGCACTTTTTTATGGCTCATAATTGTGGCGACGAACCCATGGCATGGCTTTGAGAAATACAATCAAATAAAATACTAGTGATTAGTGACAAAGAGATAGAGGCAGAGGTATGGGAGGGCTGGGAGCCAACAATTTTAGTTATATGTTTGATGTCAAGTTCGGTCAATCGCTGCCAATATTTTTAGTGTCGATGTAAATGTATGATTGAAATGAAAATGCTATTCAGTCTCGCAATGTCTTAACTCTTTTCAGCTGTCATTGAGATTAATGGCTTAAAATCGCGTGAATTATGAGAGTTTCCGATATATACATAATAAGTGCTTCAATAAGTTATATACACTTTACATGTGATACAAAAATTCTTGTGTTTGATTGACATTAATGTCAAGATTATCGATAATCTCTTTAAACTCGAGAGTCTATAGGACTTTAAAATAACAAAATATAAATTAGTCTTTTATATGACTTACAAAAACATCCGTATTCTGTACGGAATATTCTGTTTATTTTAAAACTTCTAAAAAGCAGAACAGAATTCGTGTTTTTTATTGCAATAAAAACCTCAACGAAATTCAGGAGACAAGGAGTAATAAAAACAATTGAAATTCAAATTAGAAATAAAGTCAATCACTGGGAGGGGAACGGTATGTATAAATAGCCGACTCTATCATCAAATTCCAATATATAATCGCGAATATAATACATAATCACAAGAATCTCATTATTCAGCTCTACTTCAGAATTAGAAAATGATTTATAATAAGACATAAAACTATTTCACGGATGAATTGCATAACAAATAATATGTATTATAATTTAATAGCAAACCTCAAACAATAAACTTAAGATTTAACCAGTTAATAATGTAGTAAACGAATGTTCTAGGTACTATAATAATACCGGTGCCCTTACCTGCAATGTACAATCGTTGGTCCGATTTTATCCAATTTCTCATCCATAAGCAGTTCATTCATGTAAATGCGAACTCTCCTACGAAACTGTAGCAAAGAGTTTGGGAATGGACAGGTATGTGATGACCAGCTATGATAATGCAGTTGATATATAATGCGTTCATTGGTCTCATCGGCAATGATGGTGTGCTCGTCGTCGGCGAACACGTCGTCTTCGAGCACATCCTCGTCCTCATCGATGCCATTGACATAATGGTCGCCATTCTCGTACACATCTGTTCGCGCCGACAGGAAGGCCTCGCTCTTGTAGGAGAGGTTAGGGTCGCTGTAATAGTCGGTGGCAATCGTGCCGTTATAGTCGACGGTATTCACCGATGGCCTCATCGACGAGAATCGGGTCGACCGGGACTTAAGGCTCGACCGACTCATTGGAGTCAAGCTCTTAAAGCCACTCGAAGTCTGTTTTGATCGTAAACTAGACCTCTCACTAGCTTTGGTTATCTATACAAAAGTATTGCCAAATTAATGGTCAGTATATCATAGGCTCGAAAAATGATGGCATTTTTGTTGGACTAACCATTTCTGCGGGATTTCTCACTTTTAATGTCCGGATGACAAAGTCGGCCAACGGTTCCTCACGGAGTAGAGTCACCTCAATGTTGCCGTACATCTCGGGCTTGTTCTCCTCCATCGGCCAATACTGGCAACACATGACTCGTATGAAGTCAAACACCTTCGTCAGCATCACTATAACCATCGACTTCTGCTCCCAAACCATACGCCAGAAGTCGTTTATAGTGAACTCATTGGGTCCCTGAGCGGCAATGTATGCGTTCGGCTTCAGTATGCTCTGCGGGGTGGGGG